AATAACAATAGTGGGATTAATACTCACGATAATGAAGAGCAAAGTTGTTCGTCCACCTTACAGAGAATGAATAAGCACGATGAAGATCAAGCTACCATAAGAATCAGGAGAGAAGTTATCACCCTAATAACTAGCATCAAAAAGTCAACAATGTGAAGCTCCGCTCATGAATAAGCACAACCCTGAATATCTAAACAAAACCTGGAATCAAAAAATGATTTTTATGAGCACTGCTGCAAGCCTTGCGATCCATAATGAATGGAACATGAGAGCGATTTTTAGAACTGGAGATGGACAAAAGGAAGCTGAAGCAATGTGGAATCAGAGAGGTTACCTAAATGTGATGGTAGCGGAAACCCAAGTTGTGATAAATTCTCTTGAAATAGTGGAGATGATGAAGGCGGAGCATGTTCATGTACTCACTGACTGTAAAACCATGGTGGAAATGGTAAAGGATACTATGAGAGCAAACAACATATATGAGAGGGAAGGAAGCGACACAAAATCTAAGAATAGAAGCTATCAGGGTGTTTTGATCCAGAATGTGGATGAAACCCTAAAAGGCTTCAAAAATTTCTCGATCCAGTATGTTAGTACATAATAATAAGAAAGCCCGCTTTTTATCCCAAAAAGCCATTTTGGAAAAATCACTAAGCCCTATTAATAATCAATAAATTTTATGGTCTCCAGTTTCAAAAAAATATTAAGTGTTTAGATAAAGTTAAAAAGGCTAATTATATTTCTATTTAATAATTAAATAATTAATTGAATAAGAGCTCAAGTATGAGTTGATGTCATGGTGATCCATTTCAAGATAATAAAAACTCTAATTGACCATCACCCTATATATATATATATATATATATATATATATATATATATATATATATATATATATATATATATATATATATATATATATATATATATATATATATATATATATATATATATATATATCATAAAACATATTACCTCTTTTTCTAATTTGAAGAGTGTTTAAGGCATTTGGAGTATCAGTTGAGATAGATCCAAGAGCCAACAAGTGTCAGTCACTTGTCTATACACTTTTGCGTTTCAGAATTATCGTTATCATTGCCTAAAAAACCTTTTTCTAAGATCCGTCCATATATTTTTATAATCCTTAATAGATCAATATGTTGTAGATCTTAAGGTTGTGTGTATGTATGCTCATATGTTTGTGTCGCTTTTGCCTTAAATTATGATTATAACTTTTAATTTTGTATTTTAGCATACTTTGTATAAATTAATTATTAAATTAATTGTAATAGAAATTAGAAATTTTTTAAAATTATCATTTATAAAATATATTAAATGAATTAAAGTTTAAAATATATTTATATTTCTTTAAATTTATTTATAATATATATATATATTATATATATATATATATATATATATATATATATATATATATATATATATATATATATATATATATATATATATATATATATATATATATATATATATATATATATATATATATATATATATATATATATATATATATATATATATATATATATATATATATATATATATATTAGAATGAGGCGTTTAAGGCCAAAAGAACAAATTAGGAGAGTTGCAAAAGGCACAATATGTACTAAGCAGCCAACAAAAAAACAAAAACAAGAAACACGATCCAAACAAAGCCCCATCCTACGACACATATTTGGAGAGAAAAAATAAACAGCAAGACATCTAATAAACATAAAAAATGGTGCTAAGATAGGGCTCCTATTTCATTGACCAACAAAAACAACACATGACTCCAAAGAAAACACAATAACACACCAAAGGGAGGTCAAAGTAACTCGAGTCACTTTTGGCTCATATGTAAGATAAGATTCTCTAGCCAAGTTGAGAAAGCACAAGAGTTACCCATAGACCTACCAAGATTCCATATCCAAGCTAAGAGGATGCTCTAATCTTCTATGCCCTTTGTTGTCACCACTTTACTTGCGAACATTATATCATTCAAAGTTTTCCAAATCAACCAAACTATTGCATGCCAAATCACAAAGTATCCCCTTGTCCTAGACGATCTACCAAGCTGAAAAATATATGAAAAATAGTCACAAGGTCTCTAGGTAAAACAACACACCAACTGAAGATCCTATACCAAACAATAACTACTACCTAATATATCACAAAAATATGGAGGACGACTCAAGGACACTCGAACATAAGGGAAAGAGATACCCCCCTGAGTCCCTATAGATCCCCATCTTAAGTAATTTATCTCTAGTATGGATTTGATCCTGAAGGAGCCATTAGTAGAACACAATTTCTTTAGAGAGAGTCCAACTACTCTAGATACTTTGTAGAACCACCTCCACTTATGTGATCTAGAGATCACTAGGAAATTTACGAGTGAGAAGGAACAAGTACATGGAGGCCCCAAAATAAGAGTTATGTTTAGAATGATGCCACATACACCTATTGTGCTATGAGGGGGGATAAAAATCCCTAATTAACAAGAGAAATCAAGAAATCAAAACCTGCTCATGATCAAAGAGGCAGGTTCTTCTCTACTTAAGATCTCAAACCCAAGTCTGACCCTTCCACTTATCAACCTCCCATACAAATAGATCAACCTGCTCCGAAATGGAAAAAAGGTTATGAAGCCTAACTATAATAGGAGTATTGGAAACCTATGGATCTCTCTAGAAAGAAGTGAGAATACCAAATCCAACTATCTTAAGGATACTTTTTGAAACCAATATAAGGGGTCCTCAACTTTGAAACCCATCTCCACTACGGAGACACAAATCTAAGACAACCAACTCTACCACCAAAGACCAATGAAATGAAAGTAACTCTATATATGACGAATAGAATATCACATTAGATGCTTGAAGCATCCAAAATCAATCACCACCTCCTCTTACTCAAAAGGACCAAGTTAACCACACGAAGATCTCAAACACTAAAACCTCGAAACTTCTTCAGCTTGCACACATCATACCACCTAACTCAAGAAAACTTGGAAAACCTTTTAACATCACCCGCAAAGAAACCTTCTTTGAATTTTCACACTCTTCTTCCACACCTTAACAAACATCTTGAAAAAAATACAAAAACAAGATAAGAATGGTATTAACAACAAAATAAGAAGGAACACACCCCCTCCCATGGAAATATATTGTTGTCTGCATGAGAGGAGGCGTCTAGTCATGTGATTAACTAGAGGTTCACAAGTATAAGAGAAACGTGGGTTGACCTCCACGAGTAAACCAAGGTATTTGAATGAAACAGACTATTGCTCACAATGGAGTCACAAGCTAGATCTAAGAAGACATGGCCCAAATTTACCTCAATGAGAGTACTCTTCATAAAATTCACTTGAAGGCCTGAGGCTAATTCAAACCCTCGGAGAATATCCATGATGGACCATAGATTCTCAATGGAAGCATTTGCTATAATAATTGTTTTGTCCACATACTAAAGATGAAAGACCACCAAATCCTAGGATCCAACCCCGAAACCTAAAAAACAGATGTCGATCCACAGCCCTAGAGAGCATCCCATTGAGACCTTTTGCCACAAAGAGAAAAAGGAAAGGAGTCAGGGGGTCATCTTGTTTCAAACTCCTTTGGATACTAATTTCCTGGGTCAGACAACTATTAACCAAGATCGCAAGACTACTAAAAAAGACACAAGCATGATACCAACCTCTCTGTTTATCATTAAATCCAAAGAAAGCATATAATTCGGAAAGAATCAGCTAATCGAATCATAACCTTTCTCAAATTCCACTTTAAAAATAAGACAAGATTGCTTGTTCTTCTTAGTTAGGTCCACCAACTCATTCACAACAACCACCCCCGTCCATTAGAAGTCATTCTTTAAGGAAAGTTGACTGGTTAGAAGAAATAAGCTTATCCATAATACTAAAGAGCCTTTCCACCAAGACTTTGCAAATAAACTTATAAAAAAACCTACCAATGCAATAGGTCGAAAGTCTCCCAACTGAGAAGGAGAATGAACCTTTAGAACCAAAGATACAACATGAAAGAAAAACAAACTGAAAGAATCGATGAAACATAATCACAACATCATTCCTAAAGAGGGACCAAAATCTTCTAATAAACTCCAGACCATTATAAATGATAAATATTATCATGTCCGATAACAAAACAATATAAATAACATAATACAATATATTATTGGATATTAAATATACATTATTATTAATTATATAATGTTAATAAAATGTACATAATTAAGTGTATTGCAAATTAAAATATTATATAATATAACGTAAATATTATTATATATTATAAAAAAATATTAAATTATACTGTACTATTTAGGACATAAAGTTGTTAGACTTTTTATAGCATAGTGGAAGCGCATTTTATTCTTAAGGAAAATTTTCTATATTGCACATTCTTTTTCATTCTTACCATTTTAAAAATAAAAAAAGAAATAATGTTTAATGTTATGAATTTTTTATTTAATTTCTTTAAATATGAACATTCCATTAAATGTATGAAGCCGGAAATCAAATCGGGTACATTAAAATAATATTGTAATGTTTTAATAAAGAAATAGTATTTTTTGTTAAACTACCTCCAAAAAATTCCAATAGAAATACAATTCACAATGTACTATGCACAATTTTACATTATTTTATTAATATTTTTTATATTGTAACAAAAAGCAATAGGGATATAGAGATATAGATACACAACTGACAACTCAGACCTTACTAGGCAAATGTTTATCATGAGAATTAAAAAATGATGAGTTATGTTAAGTTTATAGTTAATGAATTGTGAGACGTATTATATTAATTAACCATGTATATCATCTTTAGCAAAATCAATAGGATTAAAAGAATATGTAAAAACAAAATCAGAAAAAACAACATAACTGTAACAATAAATAACAGGAACAATTTTGATGTTATTTATCTAACAATATCCTTCATAAAAATATGTTTTTCAACATAAAAATAAGGGACGAGATTACATTGTAATATTTTCCCATTCATTTGGACATGCTATGCATTGTTTGCTAAATTCACCAAACGTAAATAGCATACAAAGAGAGTACAAGATGGCACCATAAGTGATAATGCAATACCAGACAATAACAATAATTGGAGGATTTAGTGTCACATAGAATAGCAACGGAAAAATAACTGCCACAAAAACCATAATGGTCAGCAATGTTGCCATCTCTCTGATTTTCTTATAGGTGTCCCTTTTCATTTTCTTGTTCAGATTAAAGAGACAACACTATAGAGAGTTTCTCCTACTAACTAGACTACTGGAAAGAAAAAGAAAAGATTACACTCCTTTTTTTTTTTTAGATAAGAAAGATTACACTGCTTTGTTCATACTATGGAAACAACTTTTGGATGGCTTTATTTATAGGCATAGAATGGAATACTTAATTGAAAAAAATATATGATTAATTTTGTTAAACAACTATTTCCATAATTAAGAATTGATTTTTAGTTTTAACAAACTCACTGTAAATTTTTTTCATACAATAATATAATTCTATAAACTTAACCATAAATATCTTTGAAGATATTTTAAGACTTATAATAGCGAATGACATTGTCAATTCATTGAATTTAAACAAAATACTTGGTTGTAATTTATTTATGATTTTACTGAAAATGATATATAGATAAGAATGAAATTATTATTTAGTTGAAAAGCTTTTAAAGTATTCTTATTAAAATATTAGTAAAAGATAAGTATTTAATTAATTTGTATTTTTTTATAAATATTTAAAATTGAATAATAATACATGATGTCAGCGATGACATTTTTATTTTTTCGGTAATACAAATATTTTTTATATTATTTGTTATCTGTGCATATGAGGGGTAGTTTTGATAAAGGATGAAGTGTTTTTTGATCGTGGATAAGGGAGTGTTCAGAGGCCCCGACTTTTCTTATGTAACTTGTTAGGTTCATGGGTTTATTTACAAAAATTCATATTATCTGAGGTAAATTCCTCTGTCGAGAATTAGTATGGGGAATCTAAGTCCCTTAGGACAATTTTATATGTAGCTCAACTGATGAGAACGTAAGTCCTTTAAACGAGACATTGGACCTCTTGGACAGGAGTTCTATTAGGCCTTTAGACAAGTCTTATGACTTAAGTCTCTTAGGCTAGTCACTGGTTGCGCCTCTTAGGCGTGATTTTTGTGTCTGATTCTGCCCGATGAAACACTAAGCCCCTCAAGCAAGCATTTAATTAGTCTAGGGAATCTAAGTCCCTTAGGAAAAGTTTATATATAGCCCGACTGATGAGATCGTAAGTCCCTCAGGCAAGACATTGGACCTCATGGACTGGACTTGTATCAAGCCCTCAGGCGAGACTTGTGATCAAAATTCTTGGGCAAGACTTTGGTCACGCCTTTTAGGTGTGATTTCTTTGTCTGACCCGACTCGAGGAAACACTAAGTTCCTGAGGCGAGGCTTTAATTAGCCTAGGAGATCTAAGTCGGTCAGGAAAAAGATATATGTATCTCGGTTGATGAGACCATAAGTCCCTCAGTTGAGGTGTTGGACCTCTCGGGCAGGACTTCTATCAAGCCCGCGGATAAAACTTTTGATCAAGTCTTTTGGGCCATACTTCAGACGCGTCTTTTAGGCATGATTTCTTTGTCTGACCCCGTCCGAGCAAATACTAAGTTTCTCATGTGAGGTTTTAATTTATCTGGGAGATCTAAATTCCTCAAGAAAAATATATATGTAGCTTGGCTTACGAGACTATAAGTCCCTCGGGCGAGGCGTTGTACCTCTTGGGTGGAACTTCTATCAAGCACTCAAGCAAGATTTATGATCAAGTCTCTTTGGCCGGACTTTAGTCGCGCCTTTTAGGAATGATTTCTTTGTGTAACCCAGCTAGAGGAAACACTAAGTCCCTTAAGCCAAAGATATATGTAGCTCGGTTGATGAGACCATAAGTCTATAGGATGGGCAGAACTTCTATCAAGCCCTCTAGAAAGACTTGTGATTAATTCTCTTTGGCCAGAATTTGGTCGCGTCTTTTAGGCACAACTTCTTTGTCTGACCCTACCTAAGGAAACACTAAGTCTCTCAAGCAAGGTGTTAGTTAAAATGGGATATCTAAGTCCCTCGGGTGAAAGATATATGTAGCTCGACTGATGATACCATAAGTCTCTCAAGCAATCTATTGAACCTCTCGCGCGGTACTTTTTCAAGCACTCGGGTAAGACTTGTGATCAAGTCTCTTAAGCCAGACTTCAGTCACACCTTTTAGGAAATATTTCTTTGTTTGACCCCACCCGACGAAACACTAAGCCCCTTAGATTAGCTTTTAATTAGCTTGGCATATCTATGTCCCTCGGGTGAAAGATATATGTAGCTCGGAAGATGAGACCGTGAGTCCATTATGGAATGCGTTTTATAGTTCATCTGTATTTCCATAAGGGGCGGCAAGGATCTTCATTATGAAGTCCAACAGGTATTACCTCAAATGGGTTACAAGGTTCTTTGCTATGAAGACCAACGATCATGTCCTTAAGGGGAAGAAAGGATCTTCATTTATAAAGTCGAGCAAATATTACCTCAATGGGCGATAAAGATATTTTCTATGAAGTCCAACATATAAAAATATTCAGACAAACATTCTTGTTGGTCATAAATGCTCAAGAAATTGTTCACAGGTACATAGTTATGATATCTATTATGAAATTACAAATAATTTAACTGTAATAGTATATATGATGGAGGGTGTTCTAGGTTCTAGGAAAGAGTCGTCCTTCCAACTCTTGAAGCTTATATGTATCATGAGGGAGCTTCTAGAATATGTGATATGGCCCATCCCACTTAGGTTGTAGCTTTCCTAGTTGTACGGGTAGAACAAACTCTTTTAATACTAAGTCACCATTTTGTATCTCTCCCACCTTGACTTTAGAGTTACGACTTCTATCGCCTATATGTTGGGAAGCAAAATCTTATACATGGATGACTTCTCTCAATTCATCGATTAAGTCTGTCGCACAATCCAATCTGACCTTATTTACTTCTTTATTAAATTAGGATTTTCACCACAAGGGTGTGTCGATCTCGACATGTAGCATGATGTATGCTCCATAGACCATGGCAAGTGGAGTTTTCTTGGTGGTGAGTGCAGATTAGTGTGGTACAACCATAACATCTCATGGAGATATTCTGCCCATAAGCTCTTGGCATCGTCTAGCTTCTTTTTTATTCCTTTCAGAATTACTTTGTTTGTTGATTTCACTTGGACGTTGCCCTGAGGGTGTACAACAAATACAAATTGTTTTTTTACACCCAATTCTTTGCAAAAGTCAGTGACCATAATACGAGCAAGTTGGGTTCCATTGTTAGAGACAATAGCTCTAGGAAGTTTGTATTTGCACATAATTTTCTGCCAATAGAAAAGTCGAACTCTTTGAATTTTTATTTTAGAAACAAATTTCGCTTCTATACATTTGGTGAAGTAATAGAATCCCTTTATCAAGAACTTTATTTGACTTGACGCTAGTGGGAATGGTCCCATGGTGTCCACGCCCCACTGGTAAAAAGGTCAGGGTGAATTCATTTACTGGAGAAGTTTAGCTAGGGCATGGTGAAGGTCACCATGTTTCTAGCATTGATCACACTTCTTAAAAAAGGAAATTTTATACTTCATATGAGTTGGCCAATAATATCCTGCCTTAACAACTTGTGGGTGAGGGATTTTTCGTCAATGTGACTACTACAGGCTCTCTTGTGTACTTCTGAAAGCACCAAGGTGGTTTGATGCTCTCCAAGGCACCGCAGAATGAGATAAGACCTTCTAATTTTGTAGAGTTTTCTAGAGAGTAGGGTGTAGTTGACAGCCTATTTTCAGATTCTTCTTTCTTCCCCCTCGTATAGTGGAAGTTCATCTACCTTTAGATAACAAAGTATTGGAGACATCTAGATAGACTTGGGGAAATTTCCAGGGAGTACACCTTGCTCACCTTGATTTTTGGGGAGGTGGGAGTCTCCTGAATGACTGGATGGTTAAACCCTGATGTCTTCCATGTGGCGAGCTTGGATAGGAGTTATACTCTAAAGTTCTATTTGTGGAGGACGTGTTCTATTTCAAAAAAAAGTAAAATGAGAGGATAGACTTCGTACCTTTTGGAGGTATTTTATCAATTGTGGCTATTTTTCTTGGTGTTATTTAGAGACTTGGTTGAAAACCAATTAGGAGTCACTTTTCACCTTTCGCCTGATTGTTGTTGGTGGTGAAATCGAACTTTAGTGCCTTCTCGATAAGTATGTCACCTAGTTATTCCAAGACTATCTCGATGTCGCTTTGTTTAATGGTGAATGTGCCATCTACAGATAGTGTCCAATCTAGGGGCGTCACATTGTCTACAAGGGAGACAATTTATGCCACAAAATCTATGTTAGATTTCCATTTGACTCTTCCCTTTGAGGCGTATTGGATGCCATATTTGAAGTTGTTGCATCTCTCTTATATATTTGAGGGAGAACCCCAATACAGTTTTGTTGCTTGTCACTTAAGCTTTCGATTAGTTTCATTTATTATGGCTTATTGAGTCTCCTTCTCAATTTCACATCATTTGTTTTAGCATGCATAACTAAATTGTTTGTACATTTGAGTATGACCATTATGGTTTTAGTCAATATCTTGAGTTAATGGAACAAGAACCTTATTTGAATTTGATTCAAGTTATTTGTGGGAAGTGAAATCTTAAACTATTTTGAAAACTTGAAAGTTTGAGATTTATTGTTTATGACTCGAGCCACTCATATTTCATGACTCAAATCAAATCAAACAGAGGAGAAGGTTACATTTTTTATGTATGTGACTTGAATCACATTGTACACATGATTCGAATCATGCAACACTGTGACTCGAATCACAAGTTTCACTTGATTCAAATCAAACACCTCATGTTCTCCACTGCCTTTTTTGACTCGAATCACACCTCCTACATGACTCGAATCATACATCCTACATGACTTGAATCACAAGCTTCTTCCCTTTTCCTGCTTGGTTCTGACCAGTTTGACTTGGGTCAAGCTTTGTACATGACTCAAATCATAAGCATTTATAACTAGAATCACAGACACAACATGACTCGAATTAAGGGAAACATGTTGCTTCTCTTTATGATATCTTGTTTCATTTTACTTTCTCATTTTGACTAAAATCATAAATGCTCTCGACTCGAATCTAACAACCCATTTTCACCTATTTT